TAGTGGTACGTCCTACACTACTATGAAATTCCCGAAAGAGTTCGGTGCGGAATCAGAGTAAGATAGAACGTATTAGCGACATGCAAAAATACCAGGATCACAAACAATATTTGCGAAATCAATTCTTGCTTACACATTCGCGTAATGACGGCCTAATAAAGGGCCTACATCATATTGGAATCTAATTCAAGTAGTCACACATCTAGGAGGTGCTGAGGAACTCATGAGTGAGACATTAAAAAATCTTTTCCGTTTTTGTCGGGCCTTAGCCATAATTGGTCTTAGATATCTCCGATCTTTGCAGTTTAGAAGACTAGGGGCGGCTTCAAAATTTGATATCAACGACAGGTTCCTCCAAAAAACGGGGTTTTTCTTAACAAATTTTATTTATTAAAAAAAAAAAAAATATTAATACATCAAAGTTTTTGTAGATAAGTTGATGTATAAAAATATTAATTGAAAAAATTTAATTTGCTGCTTAAACACGTCCCTTTTGTTGGTGAGTGCCACGATAACGGTAAAACGAATCATCTCAAAGCAAAAATCTATCTTATTCTGTATCACATTGGCTATGACTGGAACTACAATGAAACGTTTTCACAAAAAAAACAGACTTTTTAATTTTTTTTACCCTTTTTCAATCTTAATTCTTTATACATTTTTTAAACAACAATGAATAAATTTGGTTGTAGTATCGACCACAGAGAGGCATTTTATGAGTGAAATAACGTTTATTTTATGTTGATATATTGGGTTGCCCAAAAAGTAATTGCGCATTTTTTAAAAGAAAGTAAATGCATTTTTAATAAGACTTAGAATGATTTTTTATCAAATATATAATTGCCATTTTGTTCGATAACCTTTTGCCATCTTCCTTGCAAATTTAGTATTCCACGCTCATAGAACTTCTGGCCTTTATCTGCAAAAAACTGAACCAAGTGCGATTTTATAGCCTCATCATTGCCGAAAGTTGTACCATTTAAGGAGCTCTGCAAAGATCGAAGTAAATAGTAGTCTGATGGTGCAAAGCCAGGGCTATATGGTGGATGCATCAAAAGTTCCCAGCCAAGCTCACTCAGTTTTTGGCGAGTGACCAAAGATGTGTGCGGTCTAGCGTTGTCCAGGTGGAATATGACACCTTTACGATTGACCAATTCTGGTCGCTTCTCCTTGATGGCTGTATTCAATTTGTCCAATTGTTGACAGTAAACATCCGAATTAATCGTTTGGTTCCTTGGAAGCAGCTCAAAATATACGACACCCTTCCAATCACACCAAACAGACAGCATAACCTTCTTTTGGTGGATATCAGCCTTTGAAGTGGTTTGAGCTGGTTCACCATGCTTGGACCATGATCGTTTTCGACTAACGTTGTTGTAAATAATCCATTTTTCATCTCCAGTTATGATTCGTTTTAAAAACGGATCGAATTCATTGCGTTTAAGGTGCATATCACAAGCGTTGATTCGGTGTGTTAAATGAATTTCTTTCAATACATGTGGTACCCAAATAACAAGCTTTTTCACCAGTCCAAGACTTTTTATGTGATAAAGAACGGTTGATTTTGGGATATTTAACTTCTCTCCTATCTCACGCTCAGTTACATGACGATCCAATTCGATTAATGCTTTGATTTGGTCATCATCAACTTCATTTGGCCGACCTGAACGTGGCTCATCTTTAAGTGAAAAATCTCCAGAACGGAATTTGCGAAACCAATTTAGACACGGTCTTCCTTTTAAGGCTTCATCACCACACACATCTCGTAACTTTTTAGCAACCTGCTCCGCGTTTTTTCCTTTACGGAAAAAATAAAGTAATATATGAAAAAAATGCTCCTTTGTGGGCTCCATATTAAAATTGACGCCAAACAAATAGATGTAAACAAAATTTCGCGCACTTTTTTTCTAAAGCAAGCTAAAAGTAACATTTGATAACTGACAGAAGTTACAAGCCGTTGAAAAAATTTGTCAACGCCGACTATATGAAAAATCCGCAATTACTTTTTGGGCAACCCAATATATATATAGCAGGTTTTCAATAAGAGTGTCACCCAGTTGAAGAAATGAGGTTTCGAGAAAAAAGCGATTAAAGTCCCCGAATGGCCGGATTTACCGCTTGGCGCGCTCGGCTCTCCGCTCTCTCCTCTTCTGCTCTTACTTCTTGGTCTTGCGGAAATACGTGGCTAATTCTATATTATTTCTAAGAGTATTTTCTAGCAATTTATAGGAAATAAGTTTCGAGTTTTATTATTTTTGAGAATAACCCGACCTTAAGACTCTTTCGACCCAATCGTGGACCACAAGTTTTTTATAAGAAATGTTTATCCTTTTCCTTTGTGGCACCAATTCACACGTTCTTCACACCAAGGAATGAATGTAGTAGCTTGTAGTCTCAAGATTCAAGTACAGAGCTCAGACTCGAGCAAAAAACTCTGCTGCTTAGGGGAGACTATCATTAAGAAAATAGCGACTCCTAGTCCTTTATTTCAAAAACAAACAAAATTGTGGTGTTCAGCTGAACTTAAAGTCTAGCTTACACAAGTATCTGAAGCCAGCTGATCGAAACTTCAAATAGCACCGCTTTTTCATTGAGTTGAAACAACGCTTACACGTATTCAGTACAATTTAAATACTCACCATTTATTGAAATGCGTTTCACAGTGCAAGTAAATAAATATTAATATGTACTCATATATATATAAAAGTACATAAGCATGTAAGTACACAGTGCATTCTTAATTAAGTACTTGCTACGTGTGTATCAGTAGCAGCGCCAGAAGCAGTACATACTTATAATTACAACATGTTTGTTATGAGTACTTTCAAGTTGTATTTATAATGGGGTCACTGGGAGGGGGGCAGGGTTGGGCTTAATTCTCCATTTTGTTTATTTCATTCAAAGGTAATTTGAGAAAAATTAAATCAACTGATTCAGCCGCTGTGACGGGAGAGTGGTAGTGTGAGCAATTATAGAGCAAGTCATGTGTTCGGATATTAGCGAGGCCAACAATATATGTGGTAACTCTGACATACAAAAAATTCCAAATAAAATGCAGACTTATTTCTGGAGAAATTAAATATTTTATAACTTATTGTATTTTTTAGCTTTCCTCTAGATCGTGTAGCGTCTGTAAGCAGTGGCGATAATTCTCTACGGTTTCTGATTTTATTGCTACATACTCCAGAGCTTCTTATACTCTTTAGTAAAATGCAAAAATATAGAAACAACAAGAGATCCCCCCTAATCATGTACGGCGCAAGTTCCAATTGAAAAGCACTATCTTGACTCGGAATTCGAAAAGACTTGCGAGTGCCGAATTCTTCCATTGGTTTGATGCCACCAACGACTATGTTAACTATTGTTGCTATGACTCATCTGTATAACAATTATTCGAATCTGTCTAAGCTTCATCCAGAGCGTCAGCCTTGTAGACTATTTGAAATCAGTAGTAGTAGACCATATAACTCGGCCAAGAGTATCGAGAGGTTGGCGAAACCAACTATGTATATAACGCCGCAACCTAGACGGGGATGAGATGAGAGAGAGTAAAGCTACGTAGTTTTTTTTAACTGAAACAAATATCATAAGCAAAGCTACGTAAACTTACACAAAAGGAGACAAGATTCCGAAAAGGCTTAAAAGTCGACTTAGGCTGAACCTTCTTAAAATGCCAGCTCAAAACTGGTTCGCCACTTTCCAATTGTTATGAGAAGCTTTTATTTCATTTCAGAAATATACTCAAAAGGCTTGACATTCTGGAGGTTGGTCAAACCAGGATTTGAACTAAGATAGAGCTAAGGGCTTGCCATTATGATTTATATAAGATTTCGGGCAACTGGATGCCACGACTGGCTGGAATGAATTCCAGTCGAGCGGCTTAATATTAGACCACTTTTTGCAGCAATTCTGGCTGTTTGTCAGCAATGGCGCGTCGAATATTCTCTACCAGGCCTCAATCGCTTCGGACTTACAACGATATAGGAGATAATGAGCTCACCAAAAGCGTACTTAAATATATTGATTGCTTCGTTGGATATAGCGTCATATAGCACCGTCTTGGGGAAGCCAAAGGTCGTCCACATCCAAATTCTCCGATTCAGCATGAACAAATCGCTAATGATGGCTCTACCATATCATTTCCCATTATAGCCGACTTCATTTTTGAAGAAATAGGTGCCAATGATTCTCTCACCCCATACCAGAGCACACCAAACAGTGACTTTTTGACGCCGGAACAGTAACAATACAAAACCATTATCATCACTTAAAATATGACAATTTTTGACGCTGAACAAAGTGAAAATTGGGAACGGTGGCCACCTCGTTTTGGGTTCATTCACCGAATGCGCGCCGCGCTTTATGATTGTTTGGCTTCAATTCTTGCACGAGTAGGATTTTGTAAGTCAGCAAACCACGATACTTCCGCGAAATCCTCCAATAAGGTAGAAGTGCACAGCTTCAAATATTGCGCGCGATGGGTTCATTTGGGTTTTCTTCGATACTCTGCTCCTCAATAGCAACAGCGTCTTCGGTGCGCATGGTGCGGTGTTTCTGCGGCTGCGCATTATACAACAGACTAAAGATGGTGCGAAACCGAACTATGAATGCTCAAATTATAGACTCTGCTGGGCGATTATGTCGGTTGAATATTGATCTAAGTCTATTTGTCATGATAAGGGAAACCGAACTGAGTGTAAATCAAGCACCGATCTCAAATAGGCCAACTCCGAAAAAGTGTTGTCTCATTAAAAAACTTCCATGCAACTTTCCCTGCCTAATACCCCTTATTTGTATATATACATATATATTTACACATACAAATGCAGTATATGCACTTAATCATTATGTAGTTATGAGTATTCCATTTATATTATACACATATAAATATACGACCGTGTGTATATTTTTTACTTTAATTACTGCATCTAAGTATTAACATAAGAAAAAACTATTATTATTATTATACCGATTTTCTCTCTTTCATTTTCCATTTCCAGTCGCGGTTGTCATATGTTTCTTCCTGTGTTGGGCGCCCTTCCATGCGCAGCGTCTAATCGCCGTTTACGGTATAAATGTATTTAGTGGAGATGGCGTTGGCGTGGTGACGGGCACCAGTGCAGATGGTAGCAGTGATGGCGGTGGTGTTGGCGATGACGCTACTGCCAATGATAAGAATCATGTGGTGATATATACCGTTATGACCTACGTGTCTGGGGTGCTATATTACCTCTCGACCTGCATCAATCCGCTGCTATACAATCTGATGAGCAACAAGTTTCGGCAGGCATTCAAGGTAGGTGGCATGGCATAGTAGGACTATTCTAACCGTAATTTCCGATACTAACTGTTTTATGATATTTTTTCAGTCAATTTTACTGCGCAAAAAAACGAACGGTTCTCTCACGTATCGTCGAACGCAGCAATCGCGTAATTTCCGCCGAAATCCAACGCTTACCTCCAGCACTCAACGGGAATCGAGTGACTCTGATCCGCATTCGAAGCACTCAATGTTGCAGGCAGGTATTTATTAAAATTAGTTTTCCTAAATTTTATTAAAATTGACTTTAATATGTTTTCTTTTGCAGTCAGCGTTGAACGAACGCAAAGCCAACAGCCACATTTTGCCATAGGCTGAAATAGTTTTTGTGTGTACTTGATGTTATTGTGCTATCATCTTAGTTTTAGAATGTTATACGTATTTGAATTTGAGATCTGACATTTAGAGTACAATGGTTGGAAACCCTCAACAAATGGAGGCTACATATATACATACATACATAGTTATGTACGCGCATGTTACTCAATGTGATTATAAGGTTTGGAATGCCTAGTTTACTTTAAATAATTTATGTATTGTATAATAGTAATTAGTTTTTGTTTTTTTTCGTAATTTGTTAATATGTAATTAAATATAATATAAAAAATGTTACATAAATACAAAAAAAATGTACAATATATAAGTTACTTTAACGCTTGATAACCTTTATTTTTTAAACAAAATGTATAATAAAAAATATTTTATGAAAGCTACGTGTATAAGTTTACATTATTTTTTTATTAAATTTTGAAAATTAGTATCAGGACAAAATATTGGCAATGTTTTAGATTCTTCGACAAAGTGGAAATATTTTCTAGGCTTTTTTCTTCAAAGGAGAAGCTTTACGTTTAAGAAAGCTCTCATATTTCTTCGCGTTTCCCATTGAATGATTCTTCGTGAAAACAACATTCGTTTTCCAAATGCCCCCGAATGCCCCCGAGTACGACTGCCGGCAATTTCTTCAATGCGCTCGTGAAAAGTCTCATTATTTTCTGTAATCACTACACCTTTTTTGTCTTCACAATTACTGTATATAAATCAAGCTGGTGTAGCAATAACAAAAAGTAGCACTTATTATTAATAAAAGAAAACAGTAAATATTATATTCGACGTGTTCTACCCCGTTTCTATACCGTTCACGCAATATATTTTAATTACTAAAGCTTAATGCTTAATTGATAAGCAACTTCGTTTAAATGAAATTTTTAATAGTTATTTTCAAGCATACGAACCATATACCAAACAAATGAATGACATTTGATCCAAATAATTCTTTGCTTTAATTTAATTCGTTATTTTTTCATCTCTTTATTTATTTTATATTTTGCTCTATTTTTATCCATTTAATGTATTTAACTTGTAATTTATGTTATTTTGTTGGATTTTTTCATTTTCATTTTTAATGTTTTTTATTTTACTTTGGACGAAATATTCTATTTTGCTTTATTTTACTTCATTTTATTTTCTTTTTTTATATTCTCTCATTTTGTTTAATTTATTTTTTCTTTTTTTATTTTATTTAATTTTTTTTAGTGTTATTTTATTTTGTTTTATTTCATGTTATTTAAATTAGTTTACTTTAATTTAACTTTTATTTTATTTTATTTTATTTTATTTTATTTTATTTTATTTTATTTTATTTTATTTTATTTTATTTTATTTTATTTTATTTTATTTTATTTTATTTTATTTTATTTTATTTTATTTTATTTTATTTTATTTTATTTTATTTTATTTTATTTTATTTTATTTTATTTTATTTTATTTTATTTTATTTTATTTTATTTTATTTTATTTTATTTTATTTTATTTTATTTTATTTTATTTTATTTTATTTTATTTTATTTTATTTTATTTTATTTTATTTTATTTTATTTTATTTTATTTTATTTTATTTTATTTTATTTTATTTTATTTTATTTTATTTTATTTTATTTTATTTTATTTTATTTTATTTTATTTTATTTTATTTTATTTTATTTTATTTTATTTTATTTTATTTTATTTTATTTTATTTTATTTTATTTTATTTTATTTTATTTTATTTTATTTTATTTTATTTTATTTTATTTTATTTTATTTTATTTTATTTTATTTTATTTTATTTTATTTTATTTTATTTTATTTTATTTTATTTTATTTTATTTTATTTTATTTTATTTTATTTTATTTTATTTTATTTTATTTTATTTTATTTTATTTTATTTTATTTTATTTTATTTTATTTTATTTTATTTTATTTTATTTTATTTTATTTTATTTTATTTTATTTTATTTTATTTTATTTTATTTTATTTTATTTTATTTTATTTTATTTTATTTTATTTTTTTTCAGTTGATTATATTTATTTTTTTCTATATTTTAATTAAATATAAATTGTTTAGTTTTATAGTTTTTATTTTATTTAAATTTTTTTAATTTTTTTACTTTTTAGTCGTATTTCTCTAATCAACATATGCTTATGAGCGAATATTATTTTTAAACGAGGTTAGCGGCTCCTTACTTTTTACATTAAACACTTTGCATTATTAATAATACGATAATTTGAGGCTATTGACTTTGAACACCCGTGAGCAGGCACATGTAATTTTATAAAAAAGCTACAAAAACATTGTTAACAATTAAGTTATAAAAAGCTATACACATACATATTCAATTATTAAATACAACAAATATAATTTTGAGCCAGCAAAAAATTCATAAATTCAACCAACTACATTTGTACATATATTACTTGCATATATATATAACTACATATTTATTTCTTATACATTGTTGCTCACATCTGTAGTATGTATAAAGTAGGCATTTGTGTGTTTTGGATTATATTTATGTTCGAAAAAAATCTATTTACACTTTTATCTTTGAAAACGTGTCGGAATGAAAGCGTAAAAAATTAGCGAACAATAATTGCCGATTTGAAAATTATTTTATTTCTCCATTCTTTGATCTATTAATTTTTGCATTAAGAAGCGCATGTACTCAACGCAGCATTAGAAAATAAATTTCAATACATTTCATTCGGATAAAAAATTACATTATTTTAATTTAAACTACAATAACAAATAGACTGAGTTATGAGCAGTTCGATTAAGTTTTAATTGCCTGCAATTCGCCGATTCGAAACGCGTACTTAATATTTATGGCATACACAATGTTTACTTCATAAAGTTAATTTTATTAAAAAATGTTGTAGAGTTCAATGGAGTTGTCGATTTAGTTATTACGTTAAGAAAATCACCAGTTGAACTGGGGTCCCATTAGGAATGCACAACCACATATATATAAAGAGTAAATCAAGGAAGTTTTCGCTAAACATATTCCTTAAATCAACCGAACCCCCTTTTACCTCATGAATTTATTGGGTGGAGCTCCAGGGTGAGATTAGATGGGATTAGAGACGGCATGCGGTGACCAATCCATTTGTTACGAAGGGAATTTATTTGAATGCATATATGCCTAAATACATTAAAAAGGCTAAATTCTAAAGTATGTAGAGAGATTGGGCGTAGGGTGATGCACACTTAAGTAAGGTCAAAAGGAAGACCAGAATAAGAAAAAAGTTGGAGAGCAGAAAATAATTTACCTATCCCAATATCAAGATTCGTAGAGGACAAAGAGGGCAAGAAAAATAGAGGCTAAAGTGTATGAGTATAAAGACCTAAAGAGCGGCTATGTCTGAAAAATAGTAAAACAGCAATAGTGGGTGACTTACCGGCTGGGCTATTCAAATTTGGCGTCGAGAACCGCTAAGAGACGAGATCCAATTAATTTCAATTACCATCTCCTACAAGAACGTACAGTTTTTGGTTACATCGATGGCATCGAGTTAAACAATTGCACCTTTAATTCTACCACTTCCACACTGGATCAAAAGTGGAGTAAATTGGTGTGGTAGTGAACGAGTTCAAGACGAAATATCTCTTGTCATCACTTTAAAACAGCGCAATATTGACATTCACCAGTTTGGAATTGAAAACAAGCAATTTATGCTCAGTCCACGTAAAAAATATTAAACTTCGTATGCCGCCCATAATACACGTACTGCTATCCCACTTCGGAAAACTTGACCTGTTGGGGAAAATGTATGATCTTCTGCGCTTTCGAGATTGCGAATATCGTAGACGATGGAACAGTTGATAAACAAACATGCTCTAACTCCGATAGATATCCATTGGCTGGAGCACAGGAAGAAGAAGACTTCCTCTCCGGTGGAAATATCAAGTGGAGAAGGGACTGGTGCCAAAAAGCAAACATAAGAAATAGATGACGTGCCATTATTCACTCGCCTATAATCGAAATTTGTATATAATACAACAATCCGTTGTATTCGCCACCACTGCGTATGCGTAACGTAAATAATTTTACCTGTAAAGTTAAGTACAAGTATAAACCTTAATTAGAGGACATCAATGTAAACAATATTGTAAAATAACGGATCAACTTGGTATAGAAAACATCACAAGCAAATTAAATTGTGCATTAAATTGCAAATTTTGAGAGAGTTTATCATTACGCTAGTGTTGCGAAATTTTTCAGGTTTCATTTATTTTTGCCACAAATTTATGACCAAATTTGCATGTGACGTAATAGTAATAATAATAGTATTGTATATAAGTTGTGTATTTGTATTTCAATTATAGAATCTTCTACATATATATGTGAGTAAGTGTAAATTTATTTTCATACATTTATTGATTTATTACACTACGCGCAGTATTTGTGCATTTTTGTTGTAATTGTCCTTTGTCAAGACACTGCGGTCGAGATAATGACAAAACAAAAAATTGCAAAAATATAAATGTGAGTGTGGAAAAGGTTACAGACAAGCATATGCAATCAGGCAAATTGAAATTTCTTTGTCTTCACTTTGATTTGAATAACTTATATATATTACTGTTATATATATATAAGATGTGCACATGAATTTATATATTTGTAAACATTTCTAGTTTGTGCCCTATACGTTCGGGTATGACCTCGTTTGGAAGCTATAAACAATTTAAATTCATTTGCATTTTAGATCACAGACTAAGGAAAGTTGAAAAAATATTGCGTATACTGTGTGCTAAGAGTAATTGAAAAAAAAAGAAAATACTATAGATCTTTTGCGATTTCCAGCTGAGACGAGACAACCTAAAAAGTAAGAAAACTCTCTCTCTCTCTGAGGAACGTAGGTTAAAATAATTTTGGATGCAAACATATTCCCAAATTAATTAATATATATATTAAAAAAGGAAAAGAAGAGCTGTTGTTGGACATATCTAAGTCTTTACACCTTTCATGATCTTATCAAATTTATGGTACGGAAGAATTGGTTGAAGGGGGCCATTATGATGAAGTTTTCCGATTTCTATGCTTTTCGGTGTCAATATTATTTTGTATATACGGATATCATTTATTATACCAATCTTCCTATTATTGGATGCGTACTTGACAAATTTATGACCCAACATCTCGAATCAGAAAAATCGTTTGTATATATGCTATGGTGGCCC